AACCCACCCGAAAACCTGCACCCTGACCCCTTTAATCTTCATCCCAAAACCATCGCCCTTATCTCCTAACCCTGAACCCCTGAACCCAAAGCCACAGGTCCAATCGAGACGTCATTGCAGGAAATTCTTAGTTTTTTTTGGTTTATTGTAGTTTTTTCTTAGCTTTTCTTAGCTTTGCCTGTTTTTTGACATGTTCCATGGTTTTCCTGTACTTTTCCTGCCATGCTGAAGACGCCCGCTTAGAAGCGGCATGGGATGTGTTTATATGATGATTGTTCAGGCATCTACATGAGGCACAGGGAGTCACTGGTTTTTCCCGGCTCCAGTCGAGACAAGAACCCCTGCACACGAACCAACAGAACTGACGAGCTTCGGGTACTTTTGTTGGTTTCTTGGGCCTTTTGGCTTATGAGGGTTTAGGGCTCATGGTCTACGGTGTAGGGCTCATGTGTTTAATTTCGGTTCTAAGAAACCCAAAAACCCCTATTACGCCTGTTTTGCAGAGCGTCTTCTTACCGCCAACACGGAACTTCACGCCGGAGAAGTCCAACCTCTCTCTCGCAGTCATCTTCCTCAGGTAGGGTTCAGGGCTTTAAATTTTCGGGCTTAGGGTTTTCTGGGGTTTGGGAATTTGGTGTAGGCTTTAGGGTTTTGAGGATTAGGGCTGTGGAGAGTCTGAGAGGATCGGTATGCGCGGACTTTCTTTTTTTCACATGTGCTTGGTGTGGGGAGTGTAGAGTGTATAAGTTGCACAATTTTATTCGGGTGCTTGCGGCTGCCGGTGTCTTTAAGATGTCGGGTTTGTAAGTTTACAAGCTTGAGAAAAGCCATCAACAGTTTTTCAATTGCGGCGAAGCTGTCTGAAGCGCATGCACAGCAAGTCTGAAAGCTTGCGAATTGCGTCGGCGGTTGGTAGCTTGCTAGACGACCCCTTTCTTTGTAGAAGCTTACTGAAAACAGGAGACCATGGACAACTTTCCCCAGACGTGCAATTGCCTCGTAGAGTTGTCCGATAGCATACCGTATCACCAAAAAGCTGCGAACAGAACGGAAAGAGTAGCAGTGATGATCCGAGCATCAGCGGCTGGACCTGTTCCGCGGCATAGACATCAAGGACTTCTTGATGCTTGAACTCCTGATATTGGACATTTGCAGATTTCAGATGTACCGGGTGACTGCCTCAAACTGTACGGGGTAAGTGCCCTAAACCCTGAACCATGCCGTGTTTGGAAAAGTTCCTGCACCCTAAGACCTGATTACAGTTTAGGGTTCTAAGCCCGACCGCCCCCCCCCTCCCCCTCCCGACAAAAATGTATTAAACAAACCCTATAGAGACCTGGAAGGAAGCAACCCTTGCAAAGAAACCCTAAAGCACCCAAAATGCACATAAAGCACTTAAGTACGGCACCATGAGCAGAGAAAATCAGGCAAGCAACCCACGACAAGGAGCCCCAAAGTCTCCCAATCCATGAAAACCCCTCTACGGGTTTAGGGTTTAGGGTTTAGGGAATCTTAGTACCCTCATCTTCTCTTTGAGGGGTCAACCCTAAATCCCTAAATCATAAACCCCAAACCCCACCCTGGGCTTTCAAGGTGTGGTGTAGGTTTTTGGGTGTATGCTTTAGGGTTTAGGGTTTAGAGTGTATGGTTTAGGGTTTAGGGTGTAGGGTTTAGGGTGCGACACCGAATAAATGCGTACGAAGCTGGCAGGCTTAAAGGTTCGAGCGTGGTGGGAAAGCCCTCGGCTTCATTCCAAGTCTACGAATAGGGTTTAGGGCCGTTGAGGGTTTACCCTTCAGTTCATGTCATGAGTGTTCAGGGCCCAAAACCCTAAACCCTAAACATCCCTAAACCCTAAACCCTAGTATTCATTCCTGCAGGCTATTCGAAGCCACGGGGGAAGTCACAGGAGCCGCGAGCTACGGAACCCTCACCTTGAGCATAAGAACTTACAGGAGTTGATAGCTCCAGATTTGGGTGTTGAGGCGTCGAGTTGCTCTAGGGAATTAAAGCCTAATCCCCAAACCCAAAACCCCAATTCGCAAACCCATACCTAAACCCTAAGCCCTAACAAACCCTTCACCCATAACCATCTCTTTGGGCGGATCGCCTTGGCCCACCATGCCGCGTTGAATCCGGCGTAGTCCTCTAGCAGGATCGGGGGCTGAAAACCCTAAACCCCTAACATTAAACTCCTAAACCGTCAACCCCTAAACGCTAAACCCTAAAACCTGTATTGAAAACCCCTAAACCCCAAACCCTCCCAGGGACCCCGAAGCTTCCTGCCCTGAACTAAGTTGCTGTTATAAGGAACTTATAAACGTAAGTCACCATAATGGGGGTTTAGGGTCTAAACCCCAAGGCCCTGAAACCTTAAAGCTTCAAAGCAGCCACCCTGAGTCTCTACGACCCCCAACCCTAAAACCCTAAACCCTAAACCCTAAGAAGCCCGCAGTGGATCGCAGAAGCTCGAATTCTGGGGCATGCCTGGGGGGGGTGGTCCCGAAGACCAGCGGCAAACGGTCCGTGGAGGGCCAAGGTCTGGGGTTCAGTACTTCAAACGAGCTGAACAGTGGGTTTCGGCTTGGGGGGGCGGCAGGGCTGAGGGTGTAGATCTAGCTTGCTTTTGGGATTTGGGTTTGTTGCTTCGGCGTAAAGGTTTAGGGTTTAGGCATTTGTCCGTTGCAACTTGCTTTGGTGAGCCCGAGTTTGGCTCCCGATTTCAAGGTCGATCATGCGCGTGCGTGAGCCTTGATGTAAGCCATGGTCGGAAGGCTGCATGACGGCTAAATCCCAAAGCCCCCAAGACCTATACATCAAGAGAGCCGTAAAACCCTGAACAGTACGCCGAAAACACTGAAGCTGCAAATCCAAAATCCCGAACCCCAACCTTTCAGCGTGAAACTGCAAATCTGCTGTTTCCCCACGGCGGGGAACAGCACAGATCGGAATCCTGCAGCGGCAGCAACTACCGGTATGGTCCAAGCCCACAGACGCCAACACCGCCGCCAAACCTTAAACCCATAGACTCGCAGACTTCTCAGAAGCCCCAAACCTCCTTAAAGTGTTCAACTCTAAATCCCAAAACCTTCTTCTCCAAACCCCCTGATCCACTCAACCCTGCTCCCAAAACCTTAGGCCCCCAGAGCTAAACCCTCTCACCCCGAAGGTCCCGCATGTTGGGATCGCCACCATGGCCCAGAAGCAGTCGCGTCACGTCGGCATGACCCTCAAGAGCAGCGAGGTGCCTTTGCACGAGTATTTTCGCCTGTTTCAGCAAGGTTCATTCCAATGTGTAGGTTCGGCAAGATAAATTGAAATAGGACAACTGGATAGCACCAACCAATATGCTTGATGACGCAGCTTTGAACCACAAATGACCCTTCAAGGAAGGACACGTTTCTGGAAGCTCCAGTCTTCGAGGGGATCGTGACAGAATATAGACTCCCATGGGAATATTACCAGTTAGCAATTTTTCTCGCTTTAGATACAGGGTCAAGAAGATCGAGGCTGCTGCTGCTGGAAGTGCTTAGACTTGTTCCCTGAGTTTGTTGCCTTCCCCGAAACCCTGAACCCTAAGTCCCTGGGGCCGTCCAGCAGTGAAGACTGCTTACGGTTTAGGGGCAAAGGTTTATATGTGTAGCATTTTAAGCAGGGACTCTAGACTCTGACTGTGCTCTCAAAGATGTATGGGTAGTTCTCTAGAACCGGATCCCTTTTTAGGAACCCACAGAAGGCGGCACTCTTATAAAAAAACCCTCAAGCGGAAATCTCGCACACTAGAACCTCCACCTGCAAACATTAATAATCACAACACTAGGCGCCAAACCGACTACGCCTCCCCACAGTCCTTTAAACCCTACTAAACCCTGCAAACCCCAAACCCCTAAGCCTTAAAACCCTATATAAGCCTATAAACTCCAATCTCCAAACCCCTAAAACCCCTAAAATCCCTGAAATCCCCGAAAGCCCGAAGCCATCCTGAAGAAGCCCAAAGGCCTCTCAGAAGTCCGGGCCGAGGCACAGGGGAGTTTGCCCTCGTGAATCCCGCATGACGGGGTTCCTTTTTAGGGTTTGATGAGTGCGGATTAGGGTTTAGGGTTTAGGGTTTAGGGTTTAGGGTTTAGGGTTTAGGGCTACGGGTTCAGGGTTCAGGGTCCAGGAAGGGGCCTGATTAATTTGAATAGGGCTTTGCGGCATAGCACAATATTATAACACACTAGAGCCATGAACAGGAGTCCTGTAGACCAGTGTTGGTAATTCATTTTGTTATTACACATCAGTCACGGAGTTTGGGGCTTGCAGGTGCTAGGCTGGATCCTTTTCAGTCGTGGGCTTGAGGGTTTTGGGCCAGGGTGAAGGTCCTCAAGCAACAATTACGCTTTTCAGCTACAGGCAAGAGAGGCGAAAGGGTAACTCAGAACGACAGTGCAGTCCGGAGGTAGTACCAGCAGGGGTTTAGCATTGGGGGGTTGAGGCCCAGACGGTTGTGGGGTTTTTAGAGGGTCTTTTCGGGTTTATGGCTGTGCAAGATTGTGATCTCGAGACTGCGTGTTTGGATTGAGGGCGTGGCAGCTTTCTGTTTTCCAGAATTGTGGAGTTTGGGATTTAGGGTGCAGGTTACGCCAAAGTTGAACACGTCGTACTGAAGCCTCGACGAACCCTGTGCCTCTGATATTGGAAGGCAGGGCACGCGCCCTTGGCTAGAAGGTTATTTGCGATCTCGGTGAGGTTGGCTTGAGCCGCCAGGTGCCTGAGCGTTGGGCAATTGAGGTCTTCACGGACCCTAAGAAAAAATATGTAGTCCTGTGTGTGACAAGCATGCATTTCTCAAAACAAATTGTATGCTTGGCACGCTACCAACTACGACGACGATTCGCAACGACGACTTGCCGGCAGGTAGCACTGCCAACACCATCTCTAATGCTGCAACTGGCGGTGCAAGTTCCACTCTACCAGCACGACCACGGCGACTTGAAACGTATTGTCAGCTACTTTCAAGAGAGAACTAGCAAAAAACGATCAAGCCTGTTTGCTCCTGCGCAAAATCCAAGGGCCTAAACCAGAACTTCATGAATTACCATGCCAAAACAAATCCGACTTGTTGCTGAGGGCTTAAAATAATGCTTGAACCTGACAGTACGGAATAAAAGAAACGGAAACGAGGTCGGAAGCTGTGAAAGAAAACAAGAAAAATTGACTGCTGGTTCGCATTGTTCTAGTCTGGGCAAAACACACAAACCGATGTCCCAACTCCCTACCAGGTGATCCCCCCAAACCCCTCAACCCACCCACCCTAATCCCCCAACCCCCAAACCTCAAAAATCACGGCATGCAGACCATGGTGCAGCGCTGCCCTGCCCCCACATTGAGACACCTCCCGGGCGTTGGGATTTGCCTGGGCTTCGAGCCTCGGTGTCATTTCTGAGAAGTCAGGGTTTAAGGTTAATGGTTCAAGGTTTGGCGGAAAGGGTTCAGGCTTTGGGGTTTAAGGTTCAGGATTCAGGTGCCAGTTCTGGTCTTCAGACCTCAGGCCAACCCACAGCCATTGTTACCGCGGCTGCGGGTATTGAAATTATTACTACACTACGACGATTGCCTTCATCTTTTTTGATACTTCTACCATTGCTGTGAATGAGTATGAATACTCAAAGTGTATTCGATCGTTTTCGTACTTTCGCTATTCTGCGCGTGAAACTTCGCAATTAATCATAGCTTGTCATCAAAATCAGCATCACCATCATCGTCATCATCATCAACAACATCTTCAAAAACAACATCATCGCCATCGCCATCAGCAACAGAATCATCGTCGGCATAATGGACATCATTGTCGCTCTCAGCATCATCCCAAGCAGTAAGGTTAACAGGGCACCTAGCTTGATACAAAACCAGCATCAAGACAGATGCAAAAGCTTCGTCATCGTCAACATCCTCAGATATTCATAGCCAACATTAAGATTTGCGTCCTCATTTTCATCGCCGATGCCATCACAAAGACCGCTGTCTTCTTCATGGCCATCATCATAAACGACATCATCATCATCATCATCGTCATCATCGTCATCATCATCATCACCACCAGCATCCTCCTCCACCTCGCCCTCATCCTCACACTTATACTCATCACCATCGTCATCATCATCGTGGTCATCACGTCCGGCATCAACATCACAAGCGCAACCAGAAACTGTCCATGCTCACCATGATGGTTGACATCGGCTGGTAAGCCATTCTCATCGTCGCTGCAGCATTCAATATCGCAGTCTAATTTTGGTGCGACATATCTGCCTGCAAGCATGTGGCCATCGTCATCGTCACAGTCATGGCCATTGTCACTGTTACGGTGCTTATGATCGTCGACATGCTCCTCTGCTTGCTCCTCCTCCACCTCTTCCGCCTCCCAGACATCATCCGAATCCCGATTTCGATGAATGAATTTGCTGAGCAATCGGTCAACTGTATCATGCGAGGTTGCTGAGCACCCCGCCCCCACCCCAAAGTGGCCGAGCAAAACCGGGTCTATTGGAAGCTGCTGTGTGTGGCACATTTTTAAGGCTCCAAGCGTTTCAACGCATAGGTCACTTAGTAGGGTGGTTCTTTGCTTCGGATCAAGTTCATAAGGTTATAAACGCACCGGCTTTTATCTATAGCCGCCTCAGAAGCAGTTCAGCATGAGCCCTACAGCCACAAGGCCCCAGATCACCATAAAACCCATAAGCCGTGCGCCCTTATGTCTAGAACACACACGCACACCTAAACCCCAAGGTCCTCATTGCTAACCCAGAATCCTCTACGTGAGCGTTTAAACTTTTAACAGCTGAACAGTCAGACAGCAAAGCTACAGGTTGTCAAGTGGCTGAATGGATACTTCGCAGAGGGCGAACCCTGCATGGGAGGATTCACAGTAATTCACTCCGGAGAAGACTAGTGTCGGCTCGCCGCATGGGCAAGCGACGGGTTCAGTGTGAGCTGAACCAAAAGCACTATGCCAGCGCTGAATCTTCGCTGGGCGAAAGAAAGAACGCCAAGTGCTTGCCAATTCTCGTCAGCGAACCATGGGTGCCGTGAGAAACAGTTCATGTTGACCTGACCTGCGTTGCAAGAACTTACGTCGATGGTTAGATGCAGCTGACTGATTTTCTGGCTCGTCTTGGGGCCCGGCAAGAAGGTTGGGATCGAAATGGGAATGATGATTGTGCACTGAGTGCTACTTGCGTCTGCGCAAGCCGAGACTTCATAAACAGAAAGCGAACTCAGAACCGTGTTGGGCATTTGCGAGAACAAGGCTTGACATGTACAACTGCAGCAAAAACAAAAATGAACTAGCAAGAGCGATTTTTCGTGCCAGTCCTCTACTGTTATCGTTTATTTTCACGTGCTTGGTGAAGTAAGATATACTCGTCCTCAGAGTTCGAATCTTGTGACATTTTTACGACATAATGGTGGGTCTTGATGATGGCTTGGCCCCCACGTCGGCCTCGAACTAGGATCGCGCAATTGAAGCTACTTAGTTCTGCGTGAAGACAATTGTAAATGATGTCACGGGGTAACTGTGTTGAGGTATGTCACCTCAATTCCTGTGACATCAAACATCTGAAACATAAGCTTCGCAGGCGGGTCGGGTGCTTGAAGGTCACACGTCACCCCGTCAAGCAAGCTCTGCGAGCAACTGATGACCTGTAAAATGAATTCTTCTAGTCCATGACGGCGGAAGCTGCTGCTTCCACGAGCTGGTATAACGCACGGAGGCGACGTTCTAATTACCCTGCTATACCTGCTGAAGGATTTGTGTGAATATGGCATCCTATATGTTTCGTGCTAGCCTCCACGTCTTCCGGGCCTCAGAAATGGGGCTCCGGCTCCGGCTTTCGTGGCATAAGGCTCGGCGCCCTTTCACTTTCCAAAAATATGCACAGCCTCGCGGTGACCGATTTCGGGGCCGAGATGGCGTTGGTTCTGGTGGTGTAGTGGGCACCCTCGAACCTTCGCGTGCTCAGCCATGACTAAGCTTCGTATAGTTGGTTCAAGTATAAGTTATTGCCTGGGTTTGTCGCAAACGAAAACGTTCTCGGCGACGCGGGGCCTCAAAGAATGGTAAAGCTCTTCACGCGTTCCGGCTTCTCAGATCCCGAATCCTCTGTGGGACATCAAGGCCTTCCCACACCCAGGCCGCAAGGCCGAAGGATCCGGATTTTTCGCCGGCCGGGAACATCTGAATATTTTCGAGGCTTTTAACTATCCTAAGTTAATGCCAACAACCAGACAGAACAGGTCTGTTTGGAGAAAAAAATACATCCAATCTTCTACATACATATGAGGCTTCTTCCAAATAGACCCGGTTTTGTGCGCACACAAAGACCCGCCACACCCGAATGACGATGAGAATGCTCACGTGTTGAGGAGCGGCAGGAAGCAACGGAGGTGAACATGATGACCATGAAGAAGAATATGATGATGATGATGATGATGATGATGCTGAGGTGAAGGACGAAACTGCTGATGCTAACGCAGATGAGCCATCATAAGCATCATGCTTACGATGGTGAGGCCATTGCGAGGATTGATGATGGTGCTGGCTGGAATTGTAGCCTCTACACTTGCCCCAAGCCCCGAAGCCTAGAGCTCATCCAACTGTCCAGGCAACAGAAGGTTGACCATGTTCCTCGGTTGCCGGTATGTCTTGAGATGTGGCAGTCTACCCGGGCTTGCACATGCTTTGGCCCTGTGGGCTTTGGAGGTATTGACTGCGTGGCTCCAGTGTTGAGACTATGGGCTTCTTCAGTGCAGCGTATGGCCTAGACCCCAAGCATGAATCCGTCTGAGGGTTCTGGGAATCTTCCGACCCTCCGGCCGGCATAATTGCGATTTTTTGCAGCTTTTCAAGTTCTCGATGGCCCAACTGCAGTTTGTAGCCAGGTTTTGTACTCAAAGTGCAGTACGATGCTCGTAAACATAATCCTTGTGCCCCACTCACAAAATCCAACACCATCCAGTACTTTCAGCAAGTCGACGCTTCATGCCAGACATGACAATAATCGTCTTTTGACGAGATGCACAACTGCTACACCCCGAATGCTGAAGCAGCACGAGAAGGGTTTAGGGTCTCGAGATGTATCCACCGTTTGACCCGTGACCCTGAACCATTGAACCCTAAACCCGAAAGCATTTTCTCTGAGCTTCACTTGACTAACTGCTAGTCAGGCTTTTCGGATGTTTGATCTGGTTCATGCTTTCCTCCCGGAAAATGCTGGGGCTTGGGATTAGCGGACTTACTCGGTGCCGGCGCAACAAGGGCTGGAAGAATCCGAACTGGGGGTGGGGTGGGGGGCAAGCTGTTTAGCTCGCACATGTACAAACTAATCAGTGGCCCTCGATGCTTCAAGCCGATTGTGTGGTTGCACGTCCAGATTCCGACTAAAATCCCAGACTCTACAGCCGCAAGGTTTAGGTCGTGTTCGGGGAGCCGTCCTCGACAGAGGTTAGGGTTCCTGGCAGAGACATGAACATTGAGCCTGATGCCCGCAAGTACTGCAGTGCTGCTACACGACCCTGTGTGACAGGATCGGTTGAGGGTCGCCCCCCTGAGTGTTCGAATGGTGTTGGCATTAAAGTCCGCCTAGTGCTTTCACCCTTAAACAAGCCAAGAATCAGATTGCCAGCCCGGGATGCAGCATGTAGAGGAGTGGTGTCGGAAGGTGGCATTACGACATTCGGCTGTGCGTGGCCGCTCTCCTCAGAAGAGGGTTTCACCAAGCCCCCAGCACCCAAACTCCTGCTCTTACACCGCTGCGTCTAAACCAGGGTGTGGATCTGATTTGGAGCACCGGACAAGAAGGAAGCATCCCTCAATCCCGAATCCGAGCCGCAACTCCAGAACTTACATCTCCTCGGACCAAGTAGGGCCCCTGGCTATAAAAATATGGGGCCTAAGAAGCACTGAGCCCTTCCTCCGGCCCCGAAAAAAGACTGAGAATTCCGAGTTCGGGGAACAGAGCCCTAAAAGGGCTTCAAACTTTTAGGGCTTAGGGTTTAGGGTTCATAAACCATGTAGGAGCTCATAGGGTATAGGGCCCGTCCTTCGGTCCCCAAGGATGGCACGTCACACCGAACAACGCTGCCATGCCTAGAGTTTCACCGAATTCTGGTGCCGGGTATGGTAGAAGTGTGAACATCACATTTTCTTGACGACTCCGTGTATGCTATAGACCCAGACCCCTGACCCCGAGCCGTAGCCATGTCACTAGCAGCAGTGCTGCCTCTTCAATGTCGCCGCGTTGCGCGGCACGCAGCAGGAGATCGCTCGCCATGCTTCTTCCGGTCGCAGCGAGGGCAATCCCGAACAAGGCAACCCTGGTACGAATGTTGCAGAACGCTGCTTACGGCTGCATGCCTGCTACACTAGCAGAAAGCTGATGGGCATAAGGATGCTGTATTCTTTTCTATACACCTGTGGCCGACTATCCGCCACTGGCTGGGTTCAGGGTTTGTTTGCGTTTCGAAGGCCTCTCCCATTTATTCGAGCAGTGGCTTCGCAATACAAGAGCCTCAACACTAGCTGTATGAGGCCGTCAGTGTCTCTCCAGCTACCTGGACTGAACTGAGACGCAAGATTTGACGGATTAGGGGTCGTCTTCGGCTTGGGGTTTCGGCTTCCCCCTCGGTAGGGCCTGCTACTGAGATACATGCTCCCTGCTCCCGGGGGGCCAGCACACCCCCCACCCCGCACCCCCACCCCGCAAGTGCCGTGTAATAAAGCCCTTATGACCCCTGTACAATAGAGGGTAGTTGGGGGGTCAGGGAGGGTTTAATGGTTTGGGTTTACGGTGCTTCAGCCCCTCTTTTTGTGCCGAGCGGACGGCGACTGTACAGAGGCCCGGTAAGCACACGCACCTGCAACCCTCAAGCTTTAAGCTTCACGGCTTCAAGTGTCGAGTCAAGATCTTGTTATAGGCTGCGAAACTCTAAAATGGAGAGGCACCGCAGCTACCGATCGCTGGTGCCGCTCTCGCTGCGAGAATGGCTCGAGTCGTCGAGCTGTTCTTGAAAGTCCTAAACTTTAAACGCCTAGGTCATAGGATGTGCCTGACCTTCCTAGACAGAAACATACAAAAGGGTCTAAGTTAAGGGCTTCCCAACAAGATTCCAAAGCACGTCACACATCTCTTCCATCTCAGGACTACAGTGAAACCGAGCTGGAAAAGATAGATTCAGGAACAGCATGCAGCTCAGCTAAAGCTAGCAATCCGACCAGTCCCGCTCTAGGAAATTCACCACGCAGTTGTTGAAGTCCTCTGCTGAGGGCCGGTTGTTGAACTGCCGGGCCCTCCATTTCAAACCTAAATCCTAAACCGTTTAAACCAATTAAGATGTAGCCAGCCCTGAGCCTTTCCCGCACAGCCGCAACACATGCGAAAGCCTTATTCCCCAGCTCTGGAACACCTTCCTTGTCCAGTCGCCCCATGGCCCAAGCCCCTAGACCTTAAACCCAAAGCCCAAGCCGGTCAGCACTTAACCTGAAACCCGTAACAAAATCGCAAACACTACTCCGTAAACGCGAAACCTTGAAAGCCATGCACACCACAACTTCAGCCCTGCAACCCAGACAGCCCCAAGCCCAGAACCTTGAGCACCTGTCCATGCGGTACCCCTGAATTAAAGAAACTCCTCCAGATCCATGATTGTCAACCATATTATGAAGAGCTTTCAACAACGCTTCAGAACCGGTACAACACTCACAAAAGGGAGCCCGTGGAAGGTTTAAGAGATGCTAAAACCCTGAGTCCTAAACTCCAAATGCTAAGCCCGAGGCTTTCAAGAACACCTAAATCCTAAACCCTAAGACCTAGAAGTTTTAAGAAGGTCTATACATCCTGCATCCTAAGTCTGGGACGTTTCACCACACGTCCCAACACAGAGAACCCTACACCCCAAAGCCAAACCCTAATTCCTGAACCCGATAACACTAAACTCGAAGCCCTGAACCCTAAATCCTAAATCCTGAACCCTCATCCCAAGCCCCTAGAACCCAAAACTATTCTTAGCCCGTAACCCTTAACCCCCTAAGCCCTAAACCCTAAATCCCATAACTTTAAAAACCGAAAAGGACCTGAACTCAAGCAGCCAAGACGCATAGGGCTCCTGGGCTGTTGAGGGACTCCAAAAGGCTCTTTTTAGGGGTTCAGGGGTTTAGGGTTTGGGGGTTTAGGGGCTTAGGGGTTTATGTTTAGGGCTTTAGGGCTTTAGGGTTTAGGGGTTTAGGGTTTGGGGTTGGGGGTTGTTAGGCTTTAAGGTTTCGGGTTTCGGATTTAGGGGTTTAGGGTTTAGGGTTGTTAGGCCTTAGAGTTTGGGGCTGCTAGGCTTTAGGGTTTAGGGCTTAAGGTCGCGGGGTTGCCGGGGTTTCGGGATTCGGTCTTTGGGTTCGGCTTTAGGCTTGGGGTTTTGGGCTGTGGGGGTGTAGGCTTTGCGGCTTGAGGTTTTGGGTTGCTTGGGTTTAGAGGGTTGGGTTTTGGGTTTTAGGGTTTAGGCCTCATGGTTTGGCGCTTAGGATAGAAAGCAAAACCCGGATAGGTTCCTGAAGGAACCGCTCTTGAGGCACCCGTACACCCGAAATCCTAAACCCTTACCACGTCACTGAAGGGCTTCGGCTCACAAGCTGGCGGCGAAACTCTGAGGGCTCAGGATTGGTCTGTTCAGGTTGTCGAGCTGTTAAAGATTTGGGTTTAGTTTTAGGGCTCCCGACTTGGATTTAGGGCTGGGGCTTGGTTTGAGGGTCTAGGGTTTAGGGCCTTATTAGTTTTGGGGCTCAGGCTAGACTTTACTTTTTGCAGCTTCGGGCTTGTTTCAGGGGTTACGGTGTAGTTTCTAGGGTTTGGGATTTAGACATTAGGGCCGTCTGTGTGTGTGTGTGTGCGTGCGCACCCTGAAGCGTGCGAGACTATGCTGAGTATCCATATGAACACACAATGAGAAAGACAAATACGTATACATACAAGCACATATGCTTGTGGACAGGAAGGCAGGTAGCCAGGTTGGTAGGGTGTGTGTGGGTCTGATTGGGCATGCATTTCATTCAGTCGATGTGCTAGAATACATCACAAACATGTTTACACTCCACTAGATTGCATCTCAAGGCGATGAACTACACTCGCTACCCCTCGAGGCGGTCAGCTGTGGAATGAATCCTGCTGAACCCGTTGAACAGTAATTGACCTACTTATTGATGGTGCACAGCGGGAGCAGTGAATCGCCAAACAAAAACCTCAAATCGCCTGGCCCACCCAAATGCCAACCCTGCACTGCGATCTCTAAACCCTAAACCCTAAACCCTAAACGCTGCACTGCTAATCCATCGGGGGTCCATGTCGTCCTTCCGTGGCCGGCACCTCAAGCAGACCACGGATCGACCCGGCAGCAGCCAGACAGGGCATGGAAGGGCTTGCAACATGACCGTGTTCTTTTAATGGGTTTAGGGTTTAGGGTTTAGATGTCGTTTAAAGGTTTTTTTACGATTGTTTAAAAGGGTTGCTATGGGGTGGTCAATAAAGACGCCTCGTTCTATGTGGTATCGCTACATTCAGGAAGTCCAGGGAATAGTATAGGTGAGTACTCAGGCCCCCTGTTTGATTCTGGCCCATTGGGTTCTTTCTAAGTGTTATATTGGTTCACGGCTTAGCTTGGTGGGAGAGTTGAGATTGGGGCTGTTGGTTTGGGGTCTACTGTAGGGACCTGATTAAGAAACCGTGGTCCCATAACCCCAACATATAAGGATGCATATAAGAATGAACCCCAATGAGTTTCTTGATCAGGTTCCTACAACAGGCTGCGGCCTAACAGCTTTAGGGTTTGCGTTGAACAGCACGAGCCATGTACCTAGCAAACGCCTCAGCTAAAGTTGCTGGCATGGGAATAAGTATAGACTAAGTCTGGGTAGAGCTTAAGGCTCTTCAGACGCAAACCCGAATCCGCCCCTGAAGCCTTCGCACTTCATGAGTTTTCAACCACTGCTTGCAATGAAGCTCAAGTTCTACAGTACAAAAGCCGCCAAGCCTACACCAATAAATTCCCAAGACCCTAGACTCGACCTCTACGGACTCAACCCTAAGGCACAGAGCTGATGTTTCAACTCTCAGCTTCTTTTCAAGTCAAAACTGCTCTTGCAGCGGTGCTTATCAACACAATCAATACATGGGTAGTTCTCTAAATTAGGGTTCCTTTCAGGTCCCAAATATAGTACGGCACCCTTATAAAAGGGACCGGAAAAGAGACTCTAAAACCCTTTACCCTAAAACCCCAAACTACGTTCTAGACCTTTAGGCTGAAGCGCAACATAGAAAGAAGCCAGCCGAGGCAAAGCATCGGGGTGCCACCGGCTCCCACGGCGATTTTCCATCCGAGACCTAGGATTTGTGGCTTAGGCTTGGAGCATAGGAAGTTGAGGGCATTGGGCATGGAGTTTCTTTTTAATTTTTTGTTTTGAGGGACGGGGGGCCCTAAACCCTAAACTCCAAAGCCCAAACCGGGGGAGGGGCGGAAGGGGGGGCTTAGGGTTTCTTGGGGGAACCCTAAACCCTAAACCCTAAACCCTAAACTTTTCTTGAGACTGGAAGGTCGGAGTTTCAGGGCCCCCGGAAGGCCTTGGGCTTTGCTGGACTCCTCTTGGGAGGGATTAGGGTTTAGGGTTTAGGGTTTAGGGTTTAGGGTTTAGGGTTTAGGGTTTAGGGTAAGGTAAGACCTATAGGGTTTAGGGTTTATGGTTTAGGGTATAGGGACCTAGCTCATGGAAACCACATTAAAAAGGAGCAGAACCGGCAGAACACGGCAATACCAAGACCTCATCCAACCTAGACTCTCAACGCAACTGGTTGAGGGAAGATGCTACATCCGAAACTCGAAGCCCGTCATCACCGATTTGGCCTCAAGCTCTACCTAAAAGCCCCAAAAAGTAGGTAAAATCACGGCCTAGGACCTGCAAAAGGCCAGTCTTCTACATACTTTGGTTAAACCTTAAACCCTAAACCCCAAATCCTAAACCCTAAACCCCAAATCCTAAACCCTTAACCCTAAGTCCTAAATCCTAAACCCTATAAACCCTAAACCCTAAACCCTAAATCCTAAACCCGAAACCCAAACCCAGGTAGAGAGCCCAAGCGACTTCAGGATCTCCCTCAAGACCTTCCGATATCCATTAGCTAAAGAACACTCACACCTTAAGCTATAGGATTCCTACTATGAGGCAAGGTCTATTTCGTAATTAAGGGATATTGGAAGGTCTGGGAACATCGGATGATTATGTTGATGTGCAGTTTGCCAGCACGCTAGAACTAAACGATGAGACATGAACCCGTTGCTTCACAATCAAATCTCTGAAACCTGTTCTCGCCATTCCAACAAGCCAGGGGCATTTGCGCGGCCCCTTCATCTCACAAAGCTCTGATAAGGATAACGACCTGTTTGAGACCCCAAACGAGTTTGCCTAAAGCCTGATCTCAAAGAGTAGGAACCGTTACTGTCTAAACCTTCTCGAACAAAAAACATTCGAATTTACACCAAACACTACACCCCAAATCTATAAACCCTGCCAAACCTGAGCCTCAAACCGAAAACCCAGCTAAGGAGCCGGGAACAAAGATGCATCCGCAAATGACCAGTGCCCCCGTGCAGCCTGTCCGAGGTTGCATAGGTTACATGAGGGCCCCAACATGTTTCTACAACCCCCTAAGCCCTAAGCCCTAAACCCTTAGGGTTTCGAACTCAAGGCTCAGGCTGTATGACTTCTAAAAGGGGGTTTGTAAGGGGTCAGGGTCTGGAGACTGAAAACTCAGAAGAGCAATGTTTATCAATCTCAAGGTCCCAAAAAGATGAGTGTACCCGTAGCCACCATTGTAAGCCCTTTCTGGGTTTACCGCTTATTACGGTTGGGTTCCGAAAACACAAAACGAGGCAACCTAACAAAAAATGGAATTATAGCCCGAGGCTGCAAATTGACTGGACCCTGCTGCTGTTCGAGGGTTGGGCATCTCAGAGTATTGCTTCATGGCCTCGGCGATTCAGTGAGGTTGGGCGCACAAGGGGTTTAGGCTTACATCATATTATCCGCTTTGTTTGAGGGAGGGGTCAGGTCAGCATGTGTGAACATAGCTTACGGCCTTTCTAGAACCCGGCCTTCATATCCACATCCTCCTTGCAGCCCTGGGCCCTCGTAATGTACAAGTAGCATGCAGAACCCTGAAGCCCCAAACCCCAACCAATAAACGCCGAATGGTGTGTGTGGCCCTTATAAACCCCAAACCCTAAACCGTAAACCCCTAAACCCCTAAACCCCTAAACCCTACACCCCTAAACCCCTAAACCCGAAACCCGAAACCTAGGGCCTAAAATCGCCGAGGTTTGGAGCAGCCAAGGATAAAACTGCTTGTCACGCCAGCCAGCAGCCCGCTTCCACATCTGCTTTGCCATGGCTGTAACTTTCGGGCTAGCAGGGCCTTGTAGGGATTGGGGTTTAGGGTTTAGGGTTATTGGGGTTCAGGGCTCTAAGTTCCCAGACACTATCCACGTTACTATTGCACCTTCTCGGCGGATGTTTGCTGCTTTAAGCTGCTCAGCTGAACTCATTTCGGCCTCTGAAACGCATCCTCAACTTGGGCATGTCTTTCCTCAGCTTGAGAAACAAATCGAGGTCGCAGGAAGGGGCAAGCAACATAACAGACCGTGTTCGGTAAGTACACTCCCCCTTGGCATGGAGAAAACCCTGCCTCGTGAAATTTTGGCTTACAAGCTGAACACGAATACTGGAAACCCTCAAGCCCACGTCTTAACTCTAGATTGTAAGCTCTGAAACCCCATGTAATTAAACATTAACCCCCCAAACCATTACCTTTGGACCCTTATCCACTAAACTATTGATCTATGGCTTAGGATTTCTGGGCTTGCAGCCTGCGAGCCTTCAGGACTAGAGCTCTGCTTAAGGCTTCTAGTGGTTCAAGACGTTCCGGCTTAGGGTGTAGATGACGTGAAATGCAGCGCAAACACGAAGGAGTGCTAAGTTGCCTCTAAGTCCAGAACCTGGTCTCTAAAAGCAAGTCGGTGCCATGAAACCACCCTTCCCTGAGCTCCATACCCTACAGCCCAGAACCATAAACCCTAAAACCCTAAACCCTTAAACCCTTAAACCCTAAACCCTAACCCTTAAACCCTTAAACCCTAAACCCTAAACCCTAAACCCTAAATCTTAAACCCCGCAGCCCTGAACCAAAAAAGCAAAGCCCTCAAGGCCCCAAATCCTAAACCCTAAACCCTAAACCCTAAACCCTAAACCTTAAATCCTAAACCCTAAACCTTAAACCCTAAATTCCCTGAAAGCAGTCTTTGGCCTGGCCCCAGTGTCGCCGGTGAAGGAGTGGACAGCGAAAGGACATGGCGAAAGGGCTATGTGCAAACAGACTGCAGGTTATGTGGCTTCGTTAGGGTTTAGGGTTTAGGGTTTAGGGTTTAGGGTTTAGGGTTTAGGCTTTATGCATGATATACGAAACCGAGAAACGTTCGAAGACTGGTTACAGGAGCCTGAGTTATTACCAGTATTTCTCTTCAGGGCTCCCTATTGGAAGTGTAATTCCGAATCCAGGGCCTAGGGTTTAGGGTATACGATCTCACCATGGACAGCAGGTATTACCATGTAAGAAACATAGTCTATAGCATAAAAAGGGAAAGCATATGATGTAAGATATAAAGTTGTCGGGATTCTAGAGCCGAACATGAGTCGGATGATGCGACATGCTGTACTGTCGGACAACATCTGCGAGACTGGGAAGCACATCATGCGACAAGTTTAACATAGAGGCCACAAGCAATATAATTACTAGTAGGGTTTCGGAGGTATACTGCAGTGCAAGCATAACAAGGAACCCTGAGGAATAGTATCAGCAGTATATATAGGTATGTATATGTTTACAACCACTGTTCCTACTGCCGGTAGACTATGGCATGGTCAGATCTTGCCCTAAACCGAACAGATGGTGTCATTGGACCTGTTACCTCCAGAATATAGCAAACTCCCAAGTACCTACATGAGGGATACCTACCACAACCATATTAGCGAATCCTATTATGGAACTCGTACTATCTACTAGTAGGTACTTAGGCCCTTTTGGACTTCTGAGTCACTGCCCGCTAGTTTAATATTAATCATGTTGTAGTCGCAACCCAAGCCTTCACAGCGCAAATGCTCCTAATCTGGTATGATACAAAAGCTGCTATATCATAGCAGCCTTTTTTCTACTAACCCCTTGTGGACCCAGAAACAAGTTCATACCACAATCCGACAACCCAGCACAGAAAGGAGATCCCACAAAATCCGCAGCCGTACACCCCAAACCTTAAACCCCTCACTGGGTCTAGTGAATATATGATACCCTTAGTGAGCCTGAAATTGAAGAACAAACCCGAAACATCTTAAAAGCCAAGCCCCGCAACCCAAGCTGTGAATTTGCAGTAAAACTACACCCTGCCATGCGAAGTCCTAAATCCTAAACCCTGCAGATCAAAACCCATAGATCCTGAACCCTAAGTCCTAATCCTAAACCTGATATACATCCTAAATCCGAAACCCTCAGTCCTAAATGGGAATTTCCGAAAATCAGGGGTCCCTTTTTTGGGGGTCCTTATGATAAGATCCTATTATTTAGGGTACTATATTAGGGTCCCCTATTTTCGGAAACCCCCAAATCGCAGCTTCGATGATCCTGGTGGCCTAAACCCTAAACCCTAAACCCTAAACCGGTGGCCTCGGGCGCGCGAAGCTCCTGCGCCAGGAGCACCCTAGCGCTTGTGGCCACGCCTTGACCAGCAAGGCTTGGTTTGGCGCTGGGGACTTTAGGGCTTTAGGGCTTGCAGGATTTAGGGTTTAAGGGTTCGTGTACAATTCGGGGTTTTAGGGTTTCGGGTTCGGGACTTCCGGTGTGAGGCTACTTCTTTGCTGTTGCTCTTGCTACTGTAACTGCTATTGTCTTGATCATTACCCAGGCCGCGAAAAGTATTTTATCGCGCTGGTCGGTATGAGGCATACTCGGCTTCGTGTCCTGTCATCGTGCTTTTATTGTGTTCCCGCGAGGGGGGGGGGGGCTATCTGGACGGTTGTTCAGTGTTCTGCTCAGCTAGAGGTGCGAGGGATTTAGATTGTAAGGGTTTGACGGGGTCAGATTTTGAGGGCTCATGGGCGAACGCTTGTGGAATACGTCTAGGTATTAGCTACTTAAAGGGTAGGCTTGGGCAGGCTTCTCTAAGCTATTTCAGCAGAATGCTTTATGACTTTGTGCTTGCTGAGTTTAACCAAGCCTAAACCTCGAATTAGACAACAAACTCTCTAATGGAGCCTTATGGGTAATTCATAGAGCACGTCGAGAACCTGAATGTTTGGAACAAGGCTTTGGGCTTATAGTAAAACGGCAATACAGGGACCTCAGTTGAATATTCTCTAATTCTTCCCAAACGCACCTTGTCAAAAGCCACACCCCGTCATTTATCGGATCGAGCAAATGGAGCACGTAGCTCCAGCAAGAGGTGGTTGCTGGACTATGACATGGTTGTTCGGAGGAGAGGAAGTGCCACTCCTCCACAATTAATCCAGAACGGAGTCTGATCATGGGAGTGAAACACTCCTTGATGCTCATTGACCAGGGCAGAGACGGGAGCACCGTGCAAACGGCGCAGAGCTTCAATTTGCGCTTAAAGCCCCAACCCTACTTTGCACTTCTTATTTTCATAGCGGACGACACATGGGTAAGCATCCTGGTGTGGTTCTCGCCTGCAGGGTACCCTATACCCTGAACCCTTTCACCCCTAGCCTTTAGAAGCCTTAGGTACATAAAAGGGTGGCAGCTTGGGGGTTTAGGGTGTGAGGAGTGTTGAGCCAAGCCGCATGTCCGGGTTCAGGGTTATGGTTCTAGGTTTGGGGGTGTCTGGGCTCTTCTTCTTATTCTTGCGATGGTCTTTGAAAAAATCCTTTGGGGGCACTAAAACTGCACCCTATAAGGCCATTAACCTTACCTGCCTAAACAAGTCAAACGTCGTGCTCTAGCCTTAGGTGAGACGTGTGTCGAAGCTTGGGGCATCTTCCTCAAGACGCCTCAGCACTTGAGAAGATGACTAAGCACTGGTGCTCACGAAATATTCTTGATGCGTGTTCTAAGACTACCTCGGAGAGTTTAGGTAACTCAAGGAAGATACAAGATATAGTCAACATGGCCCATCAACAGCGTGTGTTGCAGTGTCTCTGTTTCGTGCACATATGAAATAAGATGTAGTGTAGTCCTTAAGGACGATTTCACATACAAACGAAAACGAGGTAGATCCGAGAGGCTCATGGGCTTTGGACAGAAGGTCGTGTAAGACACCAATCAACATCGGCTGACACCACCCGCCCAGGCCGTAAAGCTAAACCCAGTGGCGAAACCGAGGCCTCATTGCCGAAACTCCATGCAAACAGACTATCTAAACCCCAGCCAAGACTCTACACCCTAGAAACCTGACTGAATCCACTAGCAAACAATTCCAAGCCACAGGTTAGAACGTGAAAGCCCCAGCACTCTCGATCAGAAACCCGCGGCTGCCTTCCCCATGACAAAGTTGATTCACTACCGACGCCTCAGAGGTTGGGAGCATGGCCCTTCGCGACAATGACTTGCCGACAAATTTTACAACGAGTCTCGATTGCAATGGGCCTCTGAAAGGGTCATATGGAGCTCTGAGGAACGGACAAAGAAGATGGTCAAACAAATGGCAGATGTGCAGACACGCATGCCTTCATGTATGTACATACATTCTCACATCTGCCTACCTGCCTACCTGCCTACCTGCCCAGCCCGTGAGCCATTCCCAAACTCCTCCAAGCTCAAGGTCGCAAACACTGAACCCAAAACCTGCAGAGTGGCATCTTGTCAAACCATCAAGACTAGAAGCCACAAAGCCTGCCCCAACCGTTCCTTAGGGCTCCTTATTGCAATGATTGTAAAAATATACCCCAAAAGCCCTATTCTAATTATTCAGGAACCCTCCCTAAAACCTAAAACCTAAATCCTATAAACAACCCTAAGCCCTAAACCCTAAACCCTAATCCGTTAATTACGGAACCCTGAGCCCATTCAGACCACCCCACAGATCAACTTGGGCTCCTGCCAGAGCCTCTGCGCCATCCAAGGAGTACAGGCCTCAACACGTTAAGGTTTAGGGCTTAGGGTTTAGGGTTGAGGGTTGAGGGTTTAGGGTTTAGGCTTTAGGGTTTAGGGTTTAGCGTTTAGGGCTTAGGGCTTCGGGTTTAGGGTTTACCCTAAAAGCGCTAAACCCTTTAATGTAGGGGCCTTAATAAATAGAATAGGTTTATGGGGCCCGCTATACTATACTTATAATAAGGAAGCTCCAAGATAGTATAGGTTCATCTTTCAGCTTCTTCATTAAGTTTCGGGGCGCAGGGTTGAGGGTTTATCGTTGAAGGTATGTCTTGTCGATCTGAGGGCTTTCGGTCGTAGGTGCACCTTTAGGATTCAGGGCCCACGGCCTAGCGGTTCAACACCTCTGACGTGTCCCAACTCCGAACTCCGCATCTGCCTGGCGACTCTCAGGCATACCTTGAACTACCCACAACCTAGTTTTAAGCAGGTTCTTACTAAACCCAAATGTAGAACTAACTTAAAGGGGCCCTACTTCAGATCTGTAGGGCAGCGTTGCTGTCAGCATTTTAGACTCGAGCCCCTCTGCACGGAAACCCTAAACGTCAACAGCCCTTAAGTGGGTTTAGGGTTTCGGGTTACACTTAAACCCTTGACCCCCCAACTCTAGACCCTTGACCCCGAAACTCTAAGCCCCTATAAGTAAGCTCCAGACAGCGGATTACCCGGGACGAAAGCAAAGCGCTGCTGGCAAGATAGGGCTTGCAAATGATACTGTGATTACTTACTTACACCCGTGAAGGTCCCGATGCAGAACTGCTGCATGTCTGTAAACATAGAACCTGCTGCAACTTAGAATCACCGTTGCCCCTACCTAGAGTAATCAATGTATTTCGAAAGCAATAAAGGATATGACCCTACAGACTAAAGTTGGTTAAGATACCTTCTTGGCTACTCTGGGTACCCAAAACTCTGAACCTTAAACCCAGGCTAACACCCGTTCGTCCGGAACCCTGCTAGGCTGGGGAACGACATGAGCAACAGACTGAGTGTTAAGTATCTGGGACCTCGAAGGCTGCAGAGGGCTTGGGGTTAAGGCTTAGGACGAATGAAGGTTTGGGGTTTAGGGCTTCGGGTTACTTTGCATGTAACTGGAAATATATGGTTGTTCGAGGAAAAACTGCTAGCGAGCACTTTTTCTCGAAAACCCGCCTGATCAGCACATCTCCATGGCTCCACTATGATGCAAGGCACCCAGCTTTGAGATGCAATGCCTGAAAAGTGGACAGCCCTGCCGGCCTCGGATCTGTCGAGAATCCAGCAGGGCTTTGCATGGATACCCAGTCTTGTAGCGGGGTCGCTCCTCAGCAGCTCAGAACCAAAGCTTCCTCCCAACGAAGCAGTTGGCCAAGCCAAGAACCTTCGCAGGGATTAAAATGCTGCGTGGAACTTCTTTGGTTTAGGGTCTCGGGATAGGCTTCTTTGGTTTAGGGTTGGCGTGGAATGATATACCGCGAAGTGACCAAACAAGGGGAAGATGGGGCAGGCGGCAAAGTCTCCGCTGTTTCCCCGCAGTGCACAGGAAGATTTGACCCCTCGGTACATCGAAACTCTACACCCTGAAGCTCGAAAGTGCTTCACGCCTACATGCTGAATGTCTCTGTGTCCCTACAGATCTTGATTCGGATTCTTTAGCACTCAGGTTTGAGGGCTTTGGGAAGAAACACATCACATAGAAGTTCATGGTACCCTAAACCCTAAACCCTAAACCCTAAAGTTAAACCCTTTCATGGTACCCGGCCCATGTAACTTTCATTTGGAAGCCTGCGCACCGCCCCGGCACGCCCCGATGTGCCCTCCGCGGACCGGGTCTGAGTTCGAGTTTAGGTCAGCTCTACCCGTAGGCCCCATAGTAGTTCCTTTTTAGGGTTCATATGTAGAATCCTATAAGGTATTTCCAAAAAGGAACTACTATGGGGCCTATGGGTATATACAGCCCCAAAAAAACAAACCACCAAACCCCCAAAACCCGAAACACCCAAACTTTAGTTGGTGCGTCGTTGACCTTTCACCCCTCAGACCTACCTGTAGCCGTAGCCAAACCCGTAAGTGCAGGGCAGAATCCTAAACCCTACTAAACCCTTAACCCCGAACCCTAAACCCAAAGCCCTAAACCCTTAACCCCGAACCCTAAAACCTAAACCCTAAACCGAAGGCTCGTGGATCCCTGGGCATGGACACGTGCCTCGCCGAAAAACCGCCTGCTGCGTCGAGATACTGAAACCCAAATCCCAAAAAGGATTTCGTGTTTAGAGCTTAGGGCTTATATGGATTAGGATAAATGTAATAGTAATAATAATAATAATGGATTTCGTGTTTAGAGCTTAGGGCTTATATGGTTTAGGATAAAGGTAATAATAATGGATTTCGTGTTTAGAGTTTAGGGCTTATATGGTTTAGGATAAAGGTAAGAATAATAGTGGATTTCGTGTTTAGAGTTTAGGGCTTATATGGTTTAGGATAAAGGTAAGAATAATAATGGATTTCGTGTTTAGAGTTTAGGGCTTATATGGTTTAGGAGAAAGGTAATAATAATGCCACATGCGAGCCCAACATGCTGCCGGATCGCCATGAAAATGGAGATCTCGAGCAAGTGCTCCAAATTATCGTTGCCGTCGACCGGCACAATTCCTTAAGTTTAGGGCTTAGGGCTTAGCGTTTAGGGTTTACGGTTTAAGTCTGTTCGGTCTGCACAAGCCATCATTGTCCGCGATAGGGATTATACCGGATGGCTGCATAGGTAATGACTCCAGCTGCAATATCAGGTACCCTAAACCCTAAACCCTAAACCCTAAACCCTAAACCCGTGCATGCCTTCAGACTTAGGGCCTTAGGGAACTGTGAGGGTTGTTCCACTCGTCTCTTTGAAGCGGAGCAACGGGAAATACCGCTCTGTACAAGGAGATCCTATCAAACAAAACCACCCCTTATGACTCTTTGGTGCTGCCAGAAAGTCGGTTGTCCACGAACATTGAAATGCTGTGGCAGATGCCGTGCGCCGCGAAAAAGGCCACGATCGAGTTGTTCACCTGACTCTAAGCCTCTAGAACGCAAACAAAGCCCTAAACCCTAGACCCCAAACCCCTCAATCCTGACCCTGAAACCTTCAAGGGTTCTATGAAACCTTCATGGGTTCTATGAAACCTTTAAGGGTTGTATGAAACCTTCAAGGGTTCTATGAAACCTTCAAGGGTTCTAACCCCCCCGAGCCCTGGAGGCACCGACAACTTCAGTCGGGCCTTCGGGTTTGCGGCCGTGAGGAAGAACGCCAGGGAGAAGGTGGCGAAGGTCCCGCGCCAAAGGAGCTCAGCCTGGATGTTGTACGGCCTGCCATGGCGCTTCTTGTCTACAGGTTTATGAAAAAAGTAAAACTGGATCAAACAAGACAAATAATATATATATATATATATATGTGTATATATATATATGATATTCATATCAAATATCGAAACATGTTCCTGGTTAACACTAAGGTTACTATGATGACAAGTATGTTTAGGTTGTCTCGCATTTGCTTTAAGCCCTTTTCGGAATCGGGGTTTGCGTTTCGGTGCTCGGTTTACAGGCGTGCATACGGCTTTGGAGGGTTTTGGAGTCTATATTGCCTGGGAATTAAGGTTTCGAGTTTGAGGAATAACACTTGAGGTACAGGGTTACGGGTTGTTGACGTTTTGGGTAGTTGCTCATAAGCAGGATCAGGTCTACTGCAACCCCAATACGGAACTAAGTGCAGCAAGACGACGTTCCCGCCTTTGAGGCTAGGTAAAGACTTCATACAATAAGTTCCACTGCGCTTCAGCCTGACTCCCTCGAACCTCTCAGCGTCTGTGCCTAAACCGCGAATCCCAACCGGGGGGTGGAACCCCAAATCGTTGAGGAACCATAAGGGGATAGTATAACCACCCAGTCAGACCTCGATGTAGCACCTGTCCCAGCCTCCATCGCACCCATAGCTCCACAGGGTCCCAGGCCGCGAAGATCGGCATCACCAATCCGAACGGGAAAATGGAGAAAACCACTGTGTATATCCTTGTAGGGTTTAAGGCTTGTAGAGTTTAGGAGATATCCTTGCAGTTCAGGGTTTGGCATTAGTTCGGGCCTAGGGCTCATTGCAGGGCTTTCGGAGTTTCTGTGTCTTTGGTTTCGGGTAAGGCTCAGGATTAAGCCACACTAGTTTGGCTTTCACAAGTTGATAAAGGACTGCATGAAGAAACTGAACGACAGCACCAACGGCACCGCCCGGCAAGTAAGCACCACTGCACGTAAAAACGAAACAACACCACGACAACTGCGAAGAGAGGCGAGGCGCACAATGCTTCGGATCATAAGCAACATACTCAGAATTCAGCGACAACATGTCGCCTCCGACCTCCGACTGTGGGGAGAGGACATGGCCGCACTTGCATAGAGCAGTACGCATGATGCGGCTACAAGTCGGCTAAACAATTTGCTGGTGTCGTGGCGCGAGAGTGATGCGCGCCACTCTGAAGCTTACCAAGGTTCTTCTTCTGCTACCGTCGTACATGCCCAACTGTTACTATGCTACCATGCTGGAAGTGCAGATTTGAATATGGTCCGTCCGAGTTTACATGCTGGGGTTGCGGACCGAATTCTTGCGTCCCCAGATGCCGGAAACAAAAGCAGACAAGGCTCTTCACGCGGAGTGCTGCATCTGGATCCCAGAGGTGACGATAAGCTCCACTGGCAAAGTCCCACAGCCAGGCCTTTAGTCTGTTGCTTGGCAGGAACGGGTTCTTCTGCGTCGTCTAGTAAGCCCCAGGCCCTAAACCCTAAACAGGGTTTAGGGCTGAGGCTGGGCTTTGAAGTAACCAGGGAGAAAAAAAGTATTGACTTCTATTTTGTAATGGTTCCTTTAAGGAACAAGTCCCCCAAAGAAATATTAAAGTATGGTACTCCAAAGCCCAGGAGGGGTTCGGGTTTAGCTCAGCTCTCTGTAAGCAGTACGGGAACTTTGGGCGAAG